TTACCCACCCCAAACTGTTTTTTCCGGATTTCTCTCATTTAAAGATACCCCACAATCATGTTTTACATAGCTCTTGATATTACACAATTGGTTTGCTGTGGACGGAAGACGTTCCATTTCAAAGAGATGTGAGGCGGTGCACTTGCGGAGAGCTTAGAATGGGATGCAATTCACACAACAGCATCTTAATACCCCAATCACTTGTGGCAACGAAAGTAGGTCCGTTCATCGAGGGTGGTCCGAGGCGAAAAAAGCAGGTTTACGAGCATGGCGTGCCCTGAAATGTACAGGTTTGCAGCATGTGGTAGATTTTTGAGTACTTTGCCATAATGCACCTTTATATGAAAGCAAAACAAAAATGCACGACGGCCTTCGCAGCAGACATGGCGGTAGCTGGAACGGCAAAGTTGATAGGCCGATGGCTGGCTGCGTCTCCACGGATATCCAGAGAATCTGAAAAATAGCGTGACCCACGCTTTGACACGTGCATGAAGTGGATTTAAGAGAAAATGCTGTTAGGTCGTATTACTTCGGGTGGCGAGTTGGGAGCTCACATGTTTGAAATATTTGGCCACTAGTATATCAAGAGGTAGTGGTTGAACGTTATAATATAACTTTGGTCTATTTGAAAACCCGATGTTTCGGACCTGTCCTCAGGCTAAAAATGGAATCATAAGTCGTTCAGCAGCACCCCGATAATTTCAGTCGCAACACACCGCACAAAATGTGTGTGTTGTTTTTATTCCGCGACACCCTTTTTTAGGCGCAGCCTTGTGGAAGATACACCACCAAACTGTATCTTAAATCGTCACGTCGACGATGTGAGTGGTGTCGGGTCACTGATGACTACCGCTGCCGCTGATCGGGTTTTGCTTCGCTGGCAGTCAAATGCCACCGCAGTCACAATTGTCTGGCATATACACTTATCACTGCTGACGGGAACATGGGTTAAGTTTTAACATAAATGTTACCTGCAACATCGGCCACCCTGTGCTTTTAGGAGCTGCCAACTATTGCAGCCTGTTGTGATTGTTGTTGATCCTAATCCAGGTGAAATTCATTTAAAAAGCTTTAAAAGCCTGCAAAGTGGCTTAACGTATCAAGGAGTTCACATTACAAAGGCATTGGGTATTTACAAAAATACATTAGGTGCAGCATGAGCATGGTACCAATAATGATGCGTCTAGGTACGTACGTACCATTAGTTCATAACATTTGGTATATTTCTTTGACACAGTATTGTCTCTTTACTGACATGCTTCGATGGGCGTGGGGCGGGGGATGGGGTATCAAGTCAGTTTTAGGTGAGCCCAAGCCCTAAACTTATATAAAATCACATCCTTTGTGGTCGCAATCCAGTTCAGCGATCCTCTGCAAACAATGTTTGGTCACTTACCGTGCTCATTCGATGGTGACGGAGTTTTCTTCGGGTTTTATTGCACCACGCGTCGTGAGTTCACCATACCTGTTTGTCTACTGCCCTCCTATCTGCCTGCCAGTCGTGCTCTGGGTGGCGTTGGTTGCCGCGGTCTGGGGTCCCGGTGTTCGCTACACTATCTGTACCGCTTATCACTACTGTCGTGCGGCACAGCCTATAGTGACAAAGCCCCACCGGGTTATCCGGATGGCAGCGACGTCGTAGTGCTGAAAAGAACACCTACTGAGCTGCTGTCAGAGGCGGTAAACGAAACCACTGCTTATACAGCACCTAGATCTTCTGCTGCCTAACCATTCTGTTGAATTTGTTGTTGGGTGCCAGGGCCTGGGGAACTTCATATATCCGTTATTTGTGCCGTCCAAAGCAGATGTAACACGCCACAGCTTTGCCACAGAGATGTCCCCGCTGTATTTCCGCTGATGCAGTTTGAACAGAAGCTACTTTAGCGCCAGCAAAACTCCTCTACAGAGCACACGGAATTCGTTGCGCCTGCGCCTGCCCTTTCGGTAAAAGCCGGCATGACCCCGACGTGATTTGAACACGCAACCTTCTGATCTGGAGTCAGACGCGCTACCGTTGCGCCACGGAGCCTCGGATGTCTTCGATTGACAGCCTGGCAGCCTGGCATTGACAGCCCTTCGATCTGGTGGCCTGCGCTTCTGCTTGCACCGAAGTCACTTGTTACACATGCTCTCGCCGATATGCCATATGGTGGACACCAGGTGTGTCACTCTCCAAAATCAGTTTCGGGAGGTAAGCTGATTAAGTTGAACTAAGCCTCCTCCAAATCACTTTTCCCTTTAAGTGCGTCCTTTACGATAGAAACTATTGTGTGCTTATATTTTGTAGTGCTCCTATTGTTTTCCGTTTTCACCGTGCAGGAAGGACTTCCCATTTCAAGGCGATGAGAAGCTCCTTTTTTGCGAAGAGGTTGGTTAGAATGAGATGCAATTGGCAGAAAAAAGAAACATTGGTGATCAAAGAAAGCTGGTGTCGTTCATCGAAGGTTACCGGAGGCGCAAAAAGACAATTTTACCTGGCATGCCGCGGCCTGACACGTGCGGACGAGAAAAGCCCGTTCCGCAGACCCAGAAGGCCCTTTTCTGAGTGCACTGCCTGCACTACACGACCTGTTCAACACACATACTGGATGGACAAAGTTGATGGACTGGTGATCAAAGAAATCTCCGAAGGGGACGTCTTAAACCTAGCGTGACCTATGCTCTGACACGTGTTTGAGGCTAACGAGCAAGACAGGTCTGGAGTCTTGGTGCTTCGGATGATGAGTTGGTAGTTATTATGAACAAAATGATTGACCGTCAATCTACCGAGGGGTAGTGGTTGGATGCTTTTTTACTTTGGTGGTATTTGGAAACCGGACGTTTTGAAGCTCCGCTCAGGCCGAGGTGTGTTTGCAAGTCGATCAACAGCACCTGCATATTTTTTTTAGTCGGAACACATCGCACATGTGTTGATTCGATTCTTTGACGCCCTTCTTGTACAACTAGGTGGAAGAAATATCGCCGCCCTGTACTTTAACACGCGCCTGGGTGGCCGGTTGAATACCCTCCGTTCGGGTGTGGGCCAGTTTGCACCCACCTCCGAGATCTGGGAAACTAAGATAGCTAGAGGCTTTAATTTCACAGACGCGTAAGCCTGTATGTGAGCTCACCTATGGCAGCATGGCAAGTTCCTTAGTCATAAAATTGGTATCAGATAAAGGTAAACAAGGTCAAGCTCCAGATCAGTCTCCCATGTGCCCCCAGGCTTCACGCAACCGCTGTGAACCTATAGAGCCCGTTCGAGGCAAAAGGTCCAATGGTGTCAATTTAAGGTGATTGATCTTATTTGACATTTCAAAGATCAAAGTGACCAAAAACTACGAATTTGCTGCAAAAAGGCGTCAGGGATTACGCCCTGCGATATTTTCATAAAACAAAATGCTGGCCCGGGTTGTTTTAGTTCATTGACCTAATCTGAACTTCAAAAGCCCGCGGAGCATGTCTGCTCCGGTCCCTGGCATTCATAATTTTGAAATGAGCACAGGAAAGTTCCCATAGCCAAGCTCCCGAATAAAAATCTGGAGTCAGACGCGCTATCGTTGCGCCACTGGGTCCCATGGGGTGCAGAAAAAACCGGCTAACTGGTGCCCTGTGCTTTTGTTTGCACGACAGCCATACACGTACGTGGTACATGGGCAGAAGTGCGCCGTGCGCGGTTGCGGGCCATGCACCACATACTTATATGCCGTATGCCCGCGTACGAAGCCTGTGTGCGTAGGTGCACCATGTTGGGGAGCGCAGCACACGCGTTTTTTCATGCGCTCATTCGCAGATACACGTCTTTACTTACTGCCCTCGTAAACTGGGTACGAAACGTTCGCCAACAGACCAGGTGCACCGAATGGGTCGAAATCGCTGTCTATGCGCAACGCAACTAGAAAACCGCTGATGGGCGAGCTAACGTCCTTCCTTTCTGCTGGCTGCCCACCATACAACGGTCAGCTGATCTGACCTGCTCACCCGCCACCTGCGTCCTTCCGAAGTGACACAGCCGCCCAGGTTTCACGTGTGCTGTTGGTGCCGGCGGATGACCTCGAGTTGTGTGCCGCGCGGCCGCTGGAAGCAGTGATGTCATGGAGCGCGTGACGGGCGGGTGACACGGACGGCCGGCTGCCGACGGGAGTCTGCCGTCTGTCAGTCCTGGACCACCGGGGCCACGTAACCAGTGCAATAGCGATTCACATTTAACCTAGACTTTGCAAGGTGTAGATCTGCAAGATCTAGATGTACCAGAACGAGCTCTGTCGCCTGCTGCTGGCCGCCTTACTTACAGTTGACGTCTGTGGTACAACAGGCCTAGCATGCCGTGTATGATTGTTAGACTGACGCCGTCTCTTTGGCATGAGACCTTGTGACACAACTCCACGGATGACCTAACCCTCCAATTCTTAGAAACCGATCGCTCACCATCAGCACAGTAGGTTCTTTCCGGCCGTCATACGTTATGTTACCATACCCTGGCCTGGAAGCCGCGCAACACCCGCGACCTCTCCCGACCCGCAGATGAGTCAGAGCTGCGCCGCGACCTCGGGTGCCCCTTACAGTGAGCCTGCCGCGTGCGGTGATCTCCCACACTCTTGTGACTCATCACGCCGCGTCCTCACACAATCACGTGACGTGCTGCGCCGTAACGCTGTGCGTAACGTTATGCGTAGCGTTGTGCCGTGCCGTGCGCAAGCCGCAGGTGGTTGAGGGTGCGGCGGACCGCGCCGTGTCTGGAGAGGACAGCTTGTGCTCCGGCGGGCAGGTCCGTAGCATGGCACGACAGCGCGCCGTGCCGCACGGCGCCGCATCGGGCTGACTGGCGCACTGTGCCGCAACGTCAGGTGGTGTCACGCGTGATGCCCTGACCAACGACGGCGGCGCGACGCACCGTGCCGTTACTCCGTAACAGTATGCAGTGTGGTGCATGCACCTTGTATTTGTCCTGGGAGCGCCCTGGGTCTGTCCTGGGAGAGCTCCATGCCGGCTTATCACGTGACCCCGCGCCGCGCCGTCAGATGCTGATTCGCGCCCTGGAGGAGCTCAAGGAGTGTAAGGTCGACCGGGCAACGCTGGACGAGCTGATCGAGACCAAGGCTGACCGGTCCAGCGTCGAGAAGAAGGTCTCCAGCTGGCAGTTCGAGCAGGCGTGCCAGGAGCTCAGCGAAGGCCTCGGCTCCATGCTGGAGAAGATGGGCTCACAGGTGCGCTCTGCCCACCGGCGATGCCCCCCGCCTCCCTCCCTACCCCCGCAGGGTCTGTTACCGTTTGGTACTCATTTTCGTGGTGCTGCATCATGGGAACCATTAATCCATACCCGGCAAAGATAACTGATGCCCCATGTGATCATACGACTGGGATGATGTAATGGTGTCAAGGATAGAACAAAAGGTCGTATAATCGTCCTTATCTGGTGTTTTAGTCTTCACACACCGTCTCGGCCAGCTATCTCTCCGGTCGTCGCCAAGTGTCACTGCGTCCTACGAAAGGCTGGATGATGTTTGGCCTTCAGCCATGTAAGCGTTACAGCCCAAATTCTGTTCTTGGAATTGTTTGGATTCGAACCGTGGTGTTCTGATCGCGAGCCCAGTGCTGCACCAAGTGAGGATTTTATCCGGGGTGCTCTGGTTACGAGCCCAGTGCTTTTCCAACTGAGGTAGCCGGGAAGCGCGACAGACGAGAACGATACTCAGGACAAATATTATTTCTGTGAGGTCATGTGACCGTATGATCGCCCCTTGGACCATATGATCTGATATGCAACAACATACTGGTCTTTAAGCTGTACTCCTTGATCTGCCAAAATCCACCTTGCCACACCCACCCACTTTCCCCGAACCCTTCACCATCGCCACGCCACCCCATACCCTGTCCTGTTGCCCCTGACCCCCCACCCTGACCTTCCACCCGGTGTAACCCTCCACCCGGTGTATCCTTCCACCCGGTGTAACCCTCCACCCGGGGCATCTTCCACCCGGTGTAACCCTCCACCCGGGGCATCCTTCCACGTATCCTTCCACCCGGTGTAACCCTCCACCCGGTGTATCCTTCCACCCGGTGTAACCCTCCACCCGGGGCGTCCTTCCACCCGGTGTAACCCTCCACCCGGTGTATCCTTCCACCCGGTGTAACCCTCCACCCGGGGCATCCTTCCACCCGGTGTACCCTCCACCCGGTGTATCCTTCCACCCGGTGTAAACCTCCACCCGGTGTATCCTTCCACCCGGTGTAACCCTCCAGCCGGGGTATCCTTCCACCCGGTGTAATCCTCCACCCGGGGCATGCTTGCACCCGGTGTAACCCTCCACGCGGGCGTCCTTCCACCCGGTGTAACCCTCCAGCCGGGGTATCCTTCCACCCGGTGTAACCCTCCAGCCGGGGCGTCCTTCCACCCGGTGTAACCCTCCACCCGGGGCGTCCTTCCACCCGGCGCCAGGAGACCGATTGGATCCGCAGCGTGGACGAGATCCACGCCGACCTGCACAAGAAGCTGGACCGCGTGGAGCTGGCGCCGCTGCGCCGCTACATCAACTCCCGGCTCAAGAACATCATGGCCAAGCTGAACCGGCTGATCGCCGAGGACGAGAGTCCCGACGCGTGCGCCACGCGCCGCAAGATCATCCGGTCAGTGGCGCCGGCAGCCAGAGGGGCTCGGTGGACCACCGGGGAGGGCAGGCGGTTTGGGCTGCACGTACCAGGCAGGTCTCTTTTGTCTTTTCAGCTGGCCGTGTAGCCACAATTAATTATCCGGATTGAGCTAGTTCCGTGTGTGGCGATAGCATCTCATGACAGGCGTGCACGTCATATGTGCTTCCGCGCCGGTGGGAAGCTCTCCTCAAACCTCAAAATCGGATAGACATGACGATGGCGAATGTGACTTTCGACAGGTCAAACAGGCTCGCGACCACGACCCGGTTACCGCAACACCTCGGAATGTCGCGCCCATACCAAAACCACGTGCAAAAGCTCTTACAAACACCTGTCACTTGGATATTACAAATGCCGTCTAGGTGGACAGGGACGGATATGACTTGTAATGTGTGATGTCGGGTTAAAGTCACTCCATAGTCACTCCTTGTATTATGTAAGGTCCGTTGGACGCACATGCGTGGGCTGCACTGTCCGCAGTCCGGCCTGACAACAGAAAAGCCACCTCCATGGTGGAAAACCAGGCTGACCCCGACGTGATTTGAACACGCAACCTTCTGATCTGGAGTCAGACGCGCTACCGTTGCGCCACGGAGTCTCCGTTGGAGCGGGGTTGACGGCTTTCTGCTAGTCTGTGCTTTTGTTTGCAAGGTTATCATGCACGCATATGGCATATGGACACAAGTTTGCGGTACGTGGATGTGAACACGCGTCATACCCGTATCCCACAGCTGTGTGCGCAGGTGTGGCGTGATGGGGTGCACGACGTCCTTTGTTTTGTCAAGTGTTCATCCACATTGTTACCACCTGAATCTTTTCGATTCGTTTCACATTTAGACGAATTCATTTCGGCTAATTGACCATTGGACGGTTTGTCTCATTGTCCTTCGTCGCACTCACAGTTTAGTAAATTGACATTTGGTCAATGACCATTCGGTAGTTTTCCAGTCTAATGGTCATTCTCCTAGATCCCGTCTCGGCACATTGCCTATTCACGTTTCGGCTAAATACCATTTCAACTTATTTGCATTTCAAAACATTGGATGTCTTTAAACGCACGTGTCGTCTATAAGCTTTACGCGTGAAAGATCGTTCATTTTTTTTAACGTGACCGCAAAAGCATTCGAGCTATTTACATTTGTGGAAATATAATTTGGCCGGACGTCATTCGCCAATTTGCCCGGCAGCCACCTACTCATAGCTCAGCCACAGCCGCTGTAGGCTGGTTCTCGGCCTGCATGATCTGCTCCTGCGCTGCTGGCCCTCTGCCAACTCCCCAGCCATCACTACTGCTGATTTGACGACGGGGTAGGCCATGTTGTCAATTCCCTTGACCTTTGCTGTGTCTGCTGCTGACGGGCCGCACCATACACCCCAGACGCCGCTGGTGACTGGATGCCACATTCCCCGGCAGTCACAGAGGTTATGATTATTACTGCGAACCTCGGTGAAATCCAGCGGGTGGCTATTCTAACGCCGCGTACAAACCTATTCTAACGACAGTACAAACAACATAGATTGACATGGAACACGCGGCACATGCAAATGAGACGTAACGCCAGCGATAGACGTACAATGTTATAAAACATGAGCGACTCGTGATACAATCAGCACCTGCACGTCATGGCCAGTTGGCCGATTTAGGTAAGTTCTCTAATGAAAGAGATTGCTTTGCCCTTGAACTCCTTTAAGTTTTTGCACTGGCGCGTGGCAGCAGGGAGGCGATTCGACGCCGCCACGGCTCGGTAGGGAAATGTCCTTCTCACGCACTCTAAGTGAGGGTGTTTTACAGCGCTCGTCTGCAGTACAGTTTCGTCATCAGTAGCTCTGGTGTGCGGCTGAGATGCTTCAGATCGGCGCCTGATCAGATTACTGATAGGCCGTGGCCCATCAGACACGTAAATGGCGCTGTGCAAACATATGCGGTCGCGGTGGGTGACAGCCTCTTCGGAATTACGCCAATTTAGCTGTTTTCGAGGTTCCGTGACATGATCTCGTCTGCGTTTGCCGGCAACAAGTTTGACCGCAAAGCTAATAGCCTTAGCCAGGCGCTGGCGCTGAACGGCTGCTGTCGGGGCCCATGCAGGTAAATAATATCTGATGCGGTGGAAGACTAGTGACTCAAATAGGGACTTTATTGTGGAGCTGGGAAGCACATACCTGAGCTTGTTGACGGCTATGAGGGAGCCAAAACAGCGCTGAGTAGCTTTGACCGTTTCATTCCGCCAGTTAAGTTTTTGTCGATGAGCACCCCTAGTATTTTTATATACTCTGAAGGAGACAGTTTGGAGTTATCAAGATTCACACCCAGCCCGGCGGCTTTGCGGGTGTTGATGGGCGTGCCAGCAACCATGAATTCAGTTTTTGATGGGTCGATCTCAATGCTATTGTGACGGAACCATACTGAGACTGCAGTCAGATCGGACTCAACACGAACGCAGCTGTGCGAGACCACAGCCAAATGGTGATGATCCATGCATGAGTTGCATGTCGTCTGCATGTGGCACCAGTTTACACGAAGCTGACACATAACACTGGACGTCTTTGGTAAAGAGGAGGAACATCAGCGGTTCTACTATGCTGCCCTGAGTCACGCCATACGCGACCTCGAGACTCGGCCAGTTTCCGCCCTTCACAGTCTGTTGGCGGTCGGTGAAATAATCCGAAAACCAGTGCGGTAAAATACCATAGCATTCCAGCTTGGCTAAAAGAGCAGAGCGGTCCACACAATCGAAGGCTTTTCACAAGTCAGTTGAGTTTATCATGGTGACCATACCGGCGTCCATGTTGTTTATATAGCTAACTATATCGATGACTGCATGATCGGTGGAGTGGTGAGGACGGTGCGCGTATTGTGAGTCAACAATAATGTGGTGGCTAGCCACATATTCTAAAAGCTGGGTACAAACAGCCTTCTCCGTCAGCTTGCTTACAACACTGAGAACGCTGATAGGCCTGTAGTTCGACGGCTCAGACGCCTGTCCCCCCTTGTGCAAAGGCACGATTGTCGCAAGCTTTCAAATGTACGGGACGCTACCAGTGGTGATAGAGGGGTATACAACGTGCAACAAGTGAGGGCCAACCACTCCAAAACACTTCCGGAGGCGCAGCGCGAGACTAAGCTCTGACAGGGTGACCGATCTGGCGCGGAAAGCGCCTGCACGGACCGCGGAGTCTCTCGGCCTCCAATGGCCACGCGCGGCGCCGCTCCAGACGGCGGTCATCCCCCCCTCGGCGATGCCTGGATCCGCCTCTGCGCAGTGGCCCCTGCTCCGCCGCCGGTGGCACGACCTCCGCCCGGTCACGTGATTCTCGGTAGAGTCGGTAGAAGAGTTGTTGGTGCTCTGATTGGCTCGCCAGTCTGGTGTAACCCTCCAAGAAGCGGTACAGCGCCGGACGTTCAAACGTGACCGATTGAGGATATGACATGGACAAAAGTAGACAAAGCGAAAATATACACACAGATGCAAAAAATACGCATTTTAATCACTTTTCCGTACTATAACACTAGTTTCACGTTTAGGCACTGTCCTGCCGATCGAGCGCAGCCACGAAACCACTAAAATGCACAGACGGAGCGTTCTGCGAGGCGACCGCCATATGTAGGCACTCACAAAAAAGGTGGAATGGTCGGTCACCGCTAAGGGTAAATTGTAACAGCTTTCGAGGGGAATTTTAGCTCCATGGTAAATTAAGCTGGCTTTATGAAACTTCATGCACCAATTTTCAAAGTAATCTACAGAATTTCATCAGCATAAAGAGTACATAACCATTCCATGTTTTACAAAACCGAAATGAAAGGAAGAGCGCTAGGAGCTACCTTAGACGCCCAAATTTCACGTTTTTTGTTATGAAACTGGCACCTAGCCTTTGGACAGGGCTATCCTGTGGCATCCACTTCCTTGCGTTCTGCCATAGCAGGGAGCTCAATTTTCCGAAAAACGTGGTTGACGGATTGCCTTCTCAGTTGAAAGCATTGCAAGCTGGGCAATAACACGAGCTGTCCGCCAGCCTTCCTGCTCAAAGCAGATCTTGAGTACGTGATGGATTGTTCCCGTAAAAACTATGGTTACTTTGCCTAGCATACACCAACATCAGCTGAATGGGCTATAACGCAGGCCGCGTTCCACCTGTCGTCAGCACGATTGTCAGCCGGACTTCGTGACGTCACGTGGCCTGTCTGTGTGTGCTGATTTGGCCACTCGGCGCATGGGCCGACCATGGTCAGCGCTGACATAATGGCACCCGACGGCGCACCGAGCACCCGCCCACGGCCTGGGACCGGCCACGTCCCGGGCCAGAGCCGGCACACGGGTGCTCTGCAGCGCGACTCGCCGGGCACCCGCCCACACGCCTGGGACCGGCCACGTCCCGGGCAAGAGCCGGCACACGGGTGCTCTGCAACGCGACTCGCCGGGCACTCGTCCACGGCCTGGGACCGGCCACGTCCCTGGCCAGAACCAGCACATGAGTGCTCTGCAACGCGACTCGCCGGGCACTCGCCCACACGCCTGGGACCGGCCACGTCCCGGGCCAGAGCCGGCACGCGGGTGTGTTGCAACGCAACTCGCCGGGCACCCGCCCACACGCCTGGGACCGGCCCACGTCCCGGGCCAGAGCCAGCACACGGCTGCTCTGTAACGTGACTCGCCGGGCAACCCGCCCACGCGCCCTGGGACCGGCCACGTCCCGGGCCAGAGCCAGCACTACGGCTGCTCTGTAACGTGACTCGCCGGGCACTCGCCCACACGCCTGGGACCGGCCACGTCCCGGGCCAGAGCCAGCACACGGCTGCTCTGTAACGCGACGCACCGGTCACCTGACCGCTCGTGAGGCTTCGAATGGTCGGCAGTCGGTCCCTGCGGCCGGCCGGCCAGCCTTCGGCGCGCACAGCGCCCCGACCCAGACCAAATGCATCATGTTACACATACTTCTTACTCTCTGCGACCGTATTCGATGCTGAAGGGTTCATAGTCATTCCCGATGCCAAAATTTTACCTGTTTCGCTTTTTGAATATGGCTGCAGCTCTGTAAAACCTTCTAAGGAAGAAGGGAGTCACGGCGAAACTTCTTCGGCCAGTATGGCATATATAGTAACCTTGTGAAAATTGTTGGAACTTAGCAAGCAACACACGGTGTCTATGTCCTCGAGTGCTTTTGCAGAAATGTAACCGAAGTTGAGCATCATGCTCAACTTTGGCTACATTTTTTTTTTGGCTACTTACTTGGCTACATTTTCATTTTCAAAAACATCAGTGATGTTTTTGTGGGAGTTGTGGGGGGGATGGGCACCCAGTGTATGCATTGCATGTTTATGCAATGCATTGTATGCAATGCAGTGTATACAATGCATTGTATGCATACATATGTACGTGGTGATACTGGGGAAATGAATAGGGTATACCTTTTCAGAATATTAATCCTTTGCCTTAATTCCGTTTTCATGGTGGTCATGCTTAGTGCAGGCCAATTTAAGGCTACTGCAGTGGTTAGTTGCTCAATGCATTCGCGAGGAATATGATGCACATAGATAAGACAGAAGCAATAGACAAGCCAAACAAGCAAATATTCCTGGGAAAAAAAACAGGAGGATAGAGGAAAATATTGTTTGATATTTCGGCAACATGCCTCCATCGAAAAAACAGTAGATATTCTGCTATTGTTTCGACAAAGGCATGTTGCCGAAATATCAACCAATCATTATGACTGTATTATCTATGTTACTGCAGTGGATCCAATGCGTTGTCAACACGACAATGCATTGGATCAAGAAAAGCATTCAACACGACACTAATTCGTCTGTTCGCAGTGTAATGTTAAATTCCTCATGTCAGCGCACTCTGCGGATCTGACTTGATCTGCGCTGCTGTTAGATGTTCCTTAGCACGGTCCCGGATAGTCGGTTGAATACCCTTCGCTCGGATTGGGAGGTCAGTTTGTCCCCTCTCCCAGAAATCTTAAGAACTGGAGCTATAGACACCAAATACACAAAGTGTGTTGGCCTGTATGTGAGCTCACTGTTGTCAGAATGTAATATTCGTAGGTTATGACCTTCGGTTCAAATAAAGTCAAAAAGGTAAAAATCCAAATTGGTGTCTAAAGTGCCCCCAGACCTTCTCATGCAGCCTCCGTGAAGATAGATGTCTGTTCCAAACAAAAGGTCAATGGTGCTCATTTTAAGTCAGTGGCCTTAGTTGACCTTTAGAAATTAATGGTGACAAATCATAAAGCATTATTATGATATTTGCATTTCAATAAGCGTCAAAGATTGCCTTATTTGGTATGCTCCCAGAAAACCTATTGATAACCAGGCTCATTGTACGTCGGTGGCCTATTCTGATCTTTAAGAAGTTCATGGAAGATGTATTATGTGGTCCGTTACTAAAAAGCTCAAAATGAAATGCAGAAACACCATACAGCTCTCAAATAGAGAACAGGTTGGCTTTGACATTTGTCTGACCTTCACACCTGACCGAAGGTCAATAAAATTTGTTTATTCGAGTGTTGCGTTGCCTAAGAAACTATTTCAGAGATGTATGGCTACGTCTAACAGTCTAGATGTTGCCTTCGCCGATTCCATGCACGGACTCTTACCTGTCACAAGTCAGTGACCTTACAAGGTGCATATAAATTTGTAATACTAAAGATTTGCTATGCAATTGTCTACAGCTGTGCAAAATTTGGCGCGGCTAGGCCACGCTGTTCGGAAATCGTTTCAGAGAAACATTCAGAGAAATCTAATTAGACCACTCCCCCACCTTAGCGCGTGTAAATGAATTTTTGTTTCAATTGCACTGCAGAAGGACGCATAACACGCGACTTCTAAGGACTTTGATCTAAAAGAGAATGTTTTACGTTTGAAGGTATTGAAGCAAGCGTCAGATGTGACGAAGCAAACTCACTTGTAACTAGTGGCGCATTTTTCAAGTGGAAAAGGCTGCTCTAGGCGGCGCAATTCTTGGCGGGATGCTCCTCAATGCGTCATGATTTGATTAGGTTGTCGTACCTTGCACAACGTTGTTTGAGAGCCAGTTGACGGCCGTTATATCTGGAAGCCGCGATCACGAACGCCAGATATGAACGTCTAAACAGTTAATACTTATTGGCCTCGATCGCCGCATGGCTTATGAAACGGCAGGATTTCAACGGCGTTATTATTTAGGTCATGAATGCCAGGGTGACTTCGGAGTACTCTCCCCGGTATACCTTCTTCGGTATACCGGGGAGAGTACTCTCCCCGGTATACCTTCTTCGGTATACCGGTAGAGTACTCTCCCCGGTATACCTTCTTCGGTATACCGGTAGAGTACTCTCCCCGGTATACCTTCTTCGGTATACCGGGGAGAGTACTCTTCCCGGAGAGCACTCTCCCCAGAGTACTTTCTCTCCCCGGTATACCCCGGTACCCCATTTTCGCGGGTGTGGAACTCGGAAACAAAAGGGGCTTAGATCTTGAGAATGGCAGGATTGTAAACAGCACTGAAAGGCCTTCAAGACAAGTACTTCAGTCAAAACCCCGTATGAATGTGAGACACCCCTTTATACGGTACTTGCCCTGAGTGGAGTGTGAGTGACGGCACATTTGTGCTTTATTTTAACAAAATACGACGTGGTTGGCTGGGGAGCCACACTCTGAATGGTTCGAAAAGATAATTGATAAACAGCCTCTGAGATAGGGATCACTAGCACGCCATGTTACGCGCTATCAACCTGCCAGTCAGCGGAAGCAGTGTCCTCTGATACGTATCTCATTTACTAGACGGCAGCTCCAACGTGCGTTCCAGAAACCTCAACTGCCTCTCATGCGACGACCCAAAGAAGATCACGGGCCTGACGGCGGCGCCGGTGGTGCCCCTGCTGGAGCCGTTCCCACCGAGCGTAGGCGATCGACACCAGATCAGCTACCGCATGGGCAACATTCGACGCCAGCAGCAAATGTGAGTGCCGGTTACCCGGCCCAGGGACCCGATCATTGGCACCACCGTTGGTGAGTGGGATTCGTGAAATCAGTGCTCTTTGTGGGTTTAGCTTAGACGTGTGTTGTGTGCACCCATACGATCGGGTGGTCCCACCCATGTTGGAAAATGATGCTACGCGTCGTTGCTCGTTGCCGCCACCAATTAAGGCCATTTCCGCCGCAGTGTATTAAGTCTCATCGCTGCCACCAGTATCACTTATCTGATTCCTTCAGGCGGTGCGAACCCTACAAGGATATGACGTCACACCAGGGCGCGTTCCGCAGCCATATCAAGCAGGAGATCGACTACATGACACACCGCGGAATCCCCCACCACCCCACCTGTCCTCTCTACAATAACAGGTGTGCAGCGCGCCTCAGAAGCAGTTCAGCCATGGTCCATGGTCATGTGGTTTGTGGAATATGGGTGTGCCTCATGGCTTCTGTGGGTGCTGGTTGGATGGGGCTGAACGTTCTGTCGTGTATCATGCAAAGTTGTCACCAATCCGGCCCCGTGTGTTTCCTTTTTAAAGAAAGTGAAGTCACTTCCAATGAGTTTCCGATGGCAGGTACACCAGCGCCCAAGATGATTTGCTGTGCTGTACGATGTGCATGCGGGTAGACAATCGACAACTTAAGGATATACTATTTGCCCACGACGATATCCGCATGCGTAAGATCTCACCCAGTTAAGATGCATCAATAGTCATCCGTTGCAAGGTATGCACTCGTCTGACATGTTCACCAGCATGCCTTGCGTACCTACATCGAGATGCGCCTCTTCCACCCACTGGCGTGACTGTGTCGCTGTGACTTGTATCGGACCCGGGTGACCCGCTCCTGTCGCCACCTGCTGTCGCCATTGACGGCTACGCTTCGCCCGACCGCCGCCAGGATTCCGCATGGCCGCTGTACGTGCGTGGCGACGCGCTTCTGCGGCGGCTCGCACACCAAGATCAACTGCGTGGACACGCGCATGCGACGAATCGGCCTGGGCGCCCCGCTGATGCCGTTCGGGGCGGCGCTTCCGGGCGCGCCGACCCCGGGCCGAGCCAGCCGAGAGAGAGTGACTAAGTTAGTGGGCCACCGTTCGGTGGGCGCCAAGCACTCGCTTGTAACGCTTAATCGTTCACGCATTGGCTCACTTGTACTCAAGTTGCTGACTCACCTAGTTTTTTTTCGCAAATCACATTTAGTTACACCCTCTTTTTTGTCATCACTCGCTTACCATAATAGAACGCGAGTGTAACTTCAGCGGTAAAGGTCTTGTGTTGATGAGCTGGGCTGCTAAGGCCTTGCAAGTCTGCGCATGTGTGCATGTATGACCGGTTGGAGCATTGGTGGCCCACGATTGCTGAAGTGAGGTGCGCTATGAACCTTGTGCTGGATTAGATATTACAAAAGGACCCTTCCTATGGCGTCAGTTTTGGCCAGCTGCTGACACTTAACTGGCTGACCACGCTCTCCGCGGCAGCAGCTCCATGTCCGGGTCATGCCCGGCTCTCTCCTGGCTTCTCCGCATGATCTCGTCATGACCCCGTCGCCACCCTCCACAGGACGCCTTCGGGCACAAGCCAGCGGTCAGCCGGCGGCCGGCGACCGAGCTCTCGCGCCGAGCCGGCGGCCGTGCCGAGCCTGACGCGCCCGACGTCCGGCATGCGCCAGACGCGCTCCTCGGGTGTGGTGCTGCGCCGCCGCAGCTCGGCCGACATCGGCTCCAAGTCAGCGCCCGGCTTCGTGACGCCGCGGCCGGACTCGGCGGCGGGAACACCGACTAGTCGGCGCACACCGCAGGGGAGTCCGCCCAAGCAGCGCACGCCGACGGGCAGTCCGCCGAAGGAGGGATCACCGCAGGGGACGCCTCCAGGGACGCCTCCAAAGGAGGGGACGCCTCCAGGAACGCCACCGAAGGAGGGAACGCCTCCAGGAACGCCACCGAAGGAAGGAACGCCTGCAGGAACGCCAACGAAGGAGGGAACGCCCCCTGGCACGCCGCCAAAGGAAGGAACAGCCCCGGGTACGCCACCGAAGGAAGGAACGCCTCCAGGAACGCCACCGAAGGAGGGAACGCCTCCAGGAACGCCACCGGAAGGAAGGAACGCCTCCAGGAACGCCACCGAAGGAGGGAACACCTCCAGGAACGCCACCGAAGGAAGGAACTCCTCCAGGAACACCACCGAAAGAGGGAACGCCTTCGGGAACGCCACCGAAAGAGGGAACGCCTCCAGGAACACACACCGAAAGAGGGAACGCCCTCCTGGAACACCACCGAAGGGAAGGAACGCCTCCAGGAACACCACCGAAGGAAGGAACGCCTCCAGGAACGCCACCAAAGGAGGGAACGCCTGCGGGAAACGCCAACGAAAGGAGGGAACGCCCCCCTGGCACGGCCGCCAAAGGAAGGAACGCCTCTGGAACGCCACCGAAGGAAGGAACACCTCCAGGAACACCACTGAAAGAGGGGAACGCCTTCGGGAACGCCACCGAAAGAGGGAACGCCTCCTGGAACGCCACCGAAGGAAGGAACGCCTCCAGGAACGCCACCGAAGGAAGGAACGCCTCCTGGAACGCCACCTAAGGAAGGGACGCCTCCTGGAACGCCACCGAAGGAAGAAGCCCTCCCGGGAACAACGTCGAAGGAAGGAACACCTCCGGGAACACCGCCGAAGGAGGGAACGCCTCCTGGCACGCCGTCGCAGGGGACGCAGCAAGGGGAGTCTCCGGCGGCGGAGGAGGTGGCAGCGTCAGGGGAGGGGGAGTCTCCTGCTGAGGAGGCTGCGGAGGGAGCTCCCGAAGGGTCGGCGGTCGAAGGGGCTGCCGCTGGGGAGACGGCAGCAGGACCAGCTCCCGAAGAGGCGTCAGAGACGCCTGCCGCAGGGGAGGCGGAGCCGGCGGACGCGCCAGCTGCCGCCGAGGAGGCGCCTGCGGAGCCCGCCGCCCCCGAGGGGGCCGCTCCGGAGGAGACGCCGAAGGACGATACTGCAGACCAGGGTCCCGGCACGGAGCCCGCCGAGGAGCCGGTCGCGGAGAAGGCATCGTCTGAGGAGAAGGCGGACGAGGCGGACGGCGCAGGGGCTCCCGCGGAGCCGGAGGAGAAGGCGGAGCCGGCTGCCGAGGCCTCTCCGCCGGTGGAGGGCGGCGACAGCTGAGCCAGACCCTCCTCCCCCGGCCTGCATGCCCGAGGGCCTCCCCTGGTGTTGCTATCACAGCGCTCCAGTGACCTCTGCTTCCCAGCTGTCCGCGTGTCTGTTGTCAATGCCCCACGAAATGGCGCAGTCAAATCGTCAGCTGGGAGTCTTCGACTGTGACGTGCAATACAGCTATTTTTAGTGACGCTGGCTGGAACTGGACTCAGCCGTTTATACTCGGCTGCGCTATCGCTCGAACGGGTCGGGACTCATAGCCAGATGGTAGAGCCAGACCAGATGACCAGAGACCAGATGACATATTTAAGTAGAGCTTACACAATGCGCATCAAAAAGTTTCTGCGCTCCTCACTTTAAAATGCATACTGAGCGAACATGAGCGAACGGCGCTTGGTCATGCTGCCTGTAGCCAGCGGGATGTTTGTCGTGGCGTGTGACGGCGGAAAGGACAGCCGCCAGGAATTATCGGTTCTTATCATGCAGATAATGCCAACAGTTAATTGTTGGTGCAGCCAGACGACCTATGCAGCCAATACCGGCGATTGCAGTATTAGGTTGATAGACAACCGACAGCTCTCACATAGAAAGCTCCGTCAGCACGCAGGGCGCCATAAATTTCAGTTGGCAATCGTGCTAATGAGGCATCGAACGCGCCAGGCGTCGGTCGGTTTTTCCTCTGGGTGAAGGTATGTATGGCAAGAGTGAGGATATTTGGCATAAATCTGGCAGCGCACAGAAACATCCAATTTTGGAGCACGTAATACGACTTGCGGGAGTATTCTGACTGCCTTCTGGATGAAGGTGCTAGCACCCTGCCTTGGTACAAGGCGGATGGCTGGACTGGGTGAGGTAGGGCGTGGAATGTGGGTGGTAAGGTCGAATTAATGAACCAAAACCACTCTTATCATGCTCAGCATTTGCATCTTCTCTATGGCCTGCGGCACACGTTGAAGCACGTTTATTGTGGATTACTTGTTGGGTGTTTGGACAGTATTGCTGCGTTGTTGGTGCTTGTTTTGAAGCATTAGCTGTACACGTTGGTTGAAGTAAGGTCATATTCCCTTTATGTAGTGACTGCAAGGTAAATGATAATATTAAGTTGTAATATGACTACACAATCTGGTCATGAACAGCCAGACTACAGATGCAGTATAGCATGGTGCCCAAAAACATTAGATACATTCCAGGAATGTGCTAACATTTCCTGGCCCATTAGTTTTCTTTCTGTTGTGTTGATTGCTATGGTGCTATATTCCTGCAATGTTTTCAACATGTGGTTTATCACTGCAAATATTTCTACAGGGGGTGTGCCCCAGCAATTACCAAAGTTATACTATGAATAAATATGTAAGGCACTGGCTGTTGGATTTATACTTTCAAGTAAGACTAATTAGATCAGATCTTAACAGGTTTCACCACATGCAATCAGCTCTTTTAGAACATGCAATGCTCACACTGCAGCCTAAACTCAGTTTCTAGATCAAAGTTTTGAGTTGTGCCCCATTCTCATTGTAAAAACATGTGTGTTCTCTATTGGTGTTGTGTGGATCATTGCTTCTGGCCAGCATGTGATGTTTGTGAAAGCTGAAAACTAGCACATGTGTTTACATGTGGTTTTAAACTAATGCTTCCATTCCAGTGTGTGCCCAAGCCATTAATTATTGTATTTGAGCTCATTACAGTTTATTATATATATACAGCTCATTACCCATTGACCCCAGTCTGACTGATTTTGAACCATGTCCTAACCAGGCCAATTCTGCATCTGCTGCTCTCCCTACTACACTCAGCATGAAAGGAATTCTTGACTCAGGACCAAGGCCATATATAAATGACATTCATGACCAAGGTCATGCTCTGAACCTAAATATGACTTGAATTTGGATTTGTTTTTAGTTTCAATGGGATGCAACTTGCTATGTCAGCCAGATCATGTATTATGCACATCACCCCAGGTTACTTCCATTTTTGAATGTTCACAGAATCTTGGGTGGAAATCAAGCCTTTGAAGACCAGTAACCTTTTCACTGCACACCTGGTGGTTCAGTCATAGCATCTCCTAAAAACTTGGAAGACAGGACCAAGAGTTGAAAACAAGGCATAGTGATACTAGTGCAGCATATTATTGAATTCCGCAGCCATGCCTTGCTGTGATGGCACGGCTGATGACCCACCCAGCACTCATCTCTGGTGACTGGTGTGTGGCCTGCCCCCGCCCCGTCCACCTCCGCTGATGACGCCTGCCCGCTCCTTTGCGGCCGAGTGCCGGCGACTGGTACGCGGCCGCAGCCGAGCCGAGCTGCTCCTATGCCAGCACTACCTCTCCTCCTCCCCATCTGCCTCCCCATGTCGCTGGCCGGCACCGGCGCTGGCCCTCCTCCTGCCGCTGGCCGCCGCCGCAGTGGCGGCCGCGGCCGCGTGCTGGCCGCGTCTCCGCGTCGCCGCCAGCACCTACCCCTGCCTCATCCCCAATAACTTTGCGCTGATGGAGGCGACGCGCCCGGCATCGGACTGCGCCGTCTGCCGCGCTGGTGCGCCGCTGCGTCTGGCGCGCCCCTCCGCGGCGGCGTTCGCGCCGTACGCGTACGCCGGCCGGCCCGTGGTGGTGAGCGGCGCGCTGGACTCGTGGCCGGCCCTGCTGAGCGTCGACTACGAGTTCCTGCGGCGGATGTACGCCAGCGTGCGGGGCAACATGACGGTGGGCGAGGACGGCTGCCAGTTCCTGGCGTTCCGGTCCGAGCTCGAGTCGCTGGAGCAGCTCATGCAGCAGCGGCGCGGCGCGCAGCGCGCCGACAGCAGCTGGTACATCGGGTGGTGAGTGTCGGCTTCGGCGCGCCGTCCAACGGCCGGGTCTCCTCTCCCTTAACGTGGTACGGTGATGGCACGTTGTTGTCGGTTTTAGTGCTTTATTCCAAGTTCGGCTGTGCGGTTTTAATAGAGCGCACCAACAGAGTTGCGGACAGCTCCGGTGAGCGAGTGGGGCCATGAGGCATTTGATGTCTTGTTGAGAAGGCTCCCCTGGCAATTTATAGCGTAAATGCGACAAATCATCTGGGTGTCGGCCTGTAGCCGGTGCTGAAAGAGCATGATACGATGACAACCATTCATACGATGAGGAAAAAAGAACAAACCGTCATGCGGTGCTTCACACAAAGCCTTCCTGCGGGCCAGTTAGCGTGTCTGTCGGCACTGAAGGCCCGCACGTCGCACGGCTGCCGCAGGAGTAACTGTGACCCGCGCGTGGCGGCGATGCTGCGTGGCCTGTACAGCTGGCCCGACTTCCTGCCCGCCGATGGCGAGGGCTCGGCCATTGACTGGATCTTCATGGGCACGCCCGGCCGGGGCACGGCCGTCCACGTGAGCGCTGATATCTGGCGATGAGACGCATGGCAGAGCACGGCCTTTGCAAGGATGCGATCAGATTATTGCCATCCATGCGTAATGTTCAAGCTGTTTTGTTAATTTTAGTTTGTTTTGGCAACACAGGCATTTATTTAACCTTGTCTATGTTACACATGTACGCTGCCAGCTGAGAAATGCGGTATACATTGGTTGGCAAAGTGTCACTACCTGACCCACTCCCCCTGCTCGTGCTGTTTGAATTGTTTGCATTTATCCACCACTAAGTAGTTAAGGTGGTTGTCATAGTTTGAATAGTGTGTTGTTAAATACATTTGGTCCCTCATTTGCTTCACTTTCCTTAGAGAGAGAGAGAGAGCGAGAGCGAGAGAGAGAGAGAGAGAGAGAGGAGAGAGAGAGGAGAGAGAGAGGGAGAGAGAGAGAGAGAGAGGAGAGAGAGAGAGAGAGAGAGAGAGAGAGAGAGAGGAGAGAGAGAGAGAGAGAGAGAGAGAGAGAGAGAGAGAGAGAGAGAGAGAGAGAGAGAGAGAGAGAGAGAGAGAGAGAGAGAGAGAGAAGAGAGAGAGAGAGATAGAGAGAGAGAGAGAGAGAGAGAGAGCGAGAGAGAGAGAGAAGAGAGAGAGAGATAGGAGATAGAGAGGAGAGAGAGAGAGAGAGGAGAGAGAAAAAGAAAGAGAGAGAGAGAGAGAGAGAGAGAGAGAGAGAGAGAGAGAGAGAGAGAGAGAGAGAGAGAGAGAGAGAGAGAGAGAGAGAGAGAGAGAAGAGAGAGAGAGAGAGAGAGAGAGGAGAGAGAGAGAGAGAGGAGAGAGAGCGAGAGAGAGAGAGAGAGAGAGAGAAGAGATAGAGAGAGAGAGAGAGAGAGAGAGAGAGAGAGAGAGAGAGAGAGAGAGTAGAAGAGAGAGAGAAGAGAGAGAGAGAGGATAGAGAGAGAGAGAGAGAGAGAGAGAGAGAGAGATCATATTAATATATATATATATATATATATATATATATATATATATATATATATATATATACATATATATGACCGATTTCAGGACAACGTGCACCGGCCGTCGTGGCAGGCGCAGATCCGCGGCTCGAAGCGCTGGCGGCTGCACCCGCCGCCCGAGTGTGAGCACGTCTGCCGCCCCTTCACAGTGGACATCCACCGGGGCCAGATGTGTGAGCATTGGCCTTGTGGATGGGCTGGCGTTTGTGGACCATGTGGACTGATTGGGGTACACGTGCCTGACGGTGACGGTGGTGAACAGTGGAACGGGACCTTGCAAAGCAATGATCTTTGAGCAATCGCGCTGTGGAATGATTTACAAGATCGAGCGTCCTGTCCACGGAGAGGCGAGAGTTACGTCATTGGCGTTGCATGTATGGGTCGTGGAGATGATAAACTGGATTACTTGGTGATTGATAAGATAAGTTAGCTTAACACTTGGTGAGGCCATTTAAAATAACTGGGTTATATATGTTAATTGTACATAACTTGATAAGGTAACTTGCTATCTTGGAGTCATCTATTTGGAATTGGTTGGCTATCATATGTTCTGCAGGTGTTCGTTGCTGACAAAGTTTGTGTGTGTTTGTTTCAGTTTTGCTGGACACGAACCAATGGTACCATGGCACCGAGGTGATCGGCGATGAGATGTCCATCACTATCGGGTCCGAGTATGACTGAGTAATGTGACGAGGTATCCATCACTATGGGGTCCGAGTATGACTGAGTCGTGTGGCGAGGTATCCATCACTATGGGGTCCGAGTATGACTGGGTTGTGTGACGAGGTATCCATCACTATCGCTCCTTGGTGTCACCGGGTCGTGACTCAGCACTGCAAACAGACACAAAGCACCTAGCCTTTCGGCGCTAGCTGTTGAGATCTGAACGCCCACACAGCACAAATGCTGCTACTGAGCGCTTACAATTCTAGGCGGGTGTTGTGTGTCCATGATGATGCTGTGATGCCAATAATCGGTCCGGCTGAGGTTTAGTTAGATGTGGTCGAGCCTCCACGGCCTTTACCACATTAACTGTGTCGTAATATGCGTTGTGGAAGCAGCAGACGTATTTTGTGCTTTGATGCTGCTACTTAGTCATGTTTGCCGTAACCTCTACCAAGACTTGGTTTCCGTTAGTGGGTTGTTTTGTTTGTGTCTTGTTTTATAATGTTGTTGGTTGAATCAGGCATGGATATCGTAAGTCTGCAACATTTGCTCGTTCAAAGCAGCATCCCTGAGTATTCACGAGAGTCGACGTCAGGCTCCATCACAGGCTTGATACCTGCTTCTGTGGATATTTTGGTGCATGGTGGCCATGCCGTAAGTGCGCACCTCTCACGATTACTACCATAGCGGAAAAGCAAGTCAATGGACGTAGCGCAACGTTTTTGTTAATGATAGGCCACCCGTAGCAAGCACTTCCGACATGCCCACTCGTAGCGCTGGGATGTTTGTTGTCTGTGTCTCGTGTTATGCCAAAGAACAGCGTCCTCCGTCGCGAAGACGCTCCCGAGCTTCCGCCGATACTTTGTATTGTCGCGCCCGGTACGGCACCGAAGAGCGGCGCATTCTCATTGTGATAACGCACCAGAGCTTCCCTGGTACTATGTATTACCTCGCTCCTGTAATGGCCAAAGAGCGACGTGTTCGCCTAGAGATGTCTCAGCAGAGCTTCCGCTGTGGTTGTCCGTTGTATTTCCGCGTCGCTGTAGGTGTTGCCACGCCGTCTGATGCAAAGAGATGACTTTACGATGTAATAATACACCAGAGCTTCAACCTATGCCGCGCCTCGTCGCCTTTTAACCTGCCGGAATCGCACCAGAAACGCCGACGAGGACGCCCGGTGTCCTCGTCTTGGGACCGGGTGAATCGTGACGGTGCCTCCGGTCCGGGGGCACCGTCACGATTGTCAGTGGCCATTTGTCACAATTGTCAGTGGCCATTTGTCGCAATTGTCAGTGGCCATTTGTCGCAATTGTCAGTGGCCATTTGTCACAATTGTCAGTGGCCATTTGTCACAATTGTCAGTGGCCATTTGTCACAATTGTCAGTGGCCATTTGTCACAATTGTCAAGTGGCCATTTGTCACGATTGTCAGTGGCCATTTGTCACGATTGTCAGTGGCCATTTGTCACAATTGTCAGTGGCCATTTGTCACAATTGTCAGTGGCCATTTGTCACAATTGTCAGTGGCCATTTGTCACAATTGTCAGTGGCCATTTGTCACGATTGTCAGTGGTCATTTGTCACGATTGTCAGTGGCCATTTGTCACAATTGTCAGTGACCATTTGTCACGATTGTCGGTGACCATTTGTCAGGATTGTCAGTGACCATTTGTCACGATTGTCAGTGGCCATTTGTCACAATTGTCAGTGACCATTTGTCACGATTGTCAGTGGCCATTTGTCACAATTGTCAGTGACCATTTGTCACGATTGTCAGTGGCCATTTGTCACAATTGTCAGTGGCCATTTGTCACGATTGTCAGTGGCCATTTGTCACGATTGTCAGTGACCATTTGTCACGATTGTCAGTGGCCATTTGTCACAATTGTCAGTGACCATTTGTCACGATTGTCAGTGGCCATTTGTCACAATTGTCGGTGACCATTTGTCACGATTGTCAGTGGCCATTTGTCACAATTGTCAGTGGCCATTTGTCACAATTGTCAGTGACCATTTGTCACGATTGTCAGTGGCCATTTGTCACGATTGTCAGTGGCCATTTGTCACGATTGTCAGTGGCCATTTGTCACGATTGTCAGTGGCCATTTGTCACGATTGTCAGTGGCCATTTGTCACGATTGTCAGTGACCATTTGTCACGATTGTCAGTGGCCATTTGTCACGATTGTCAGTGGCCATTTGTCACGATTGTCAGTGGCCATTTGTCACGATTGTCAGTGGCCATTTGTCACAATTGTCAGTGGCCATTTGTCACGATTGTCAGTGGCCATTTGTCACGATTGTCAGTGGCCATTTGTCACGATTGTCAGTGGCCATTTGTCACGATTGTCAGTGGCCATTTGTCACACGATTGTCAGTGACCATTTGTCACGATTGTCAGTGGCCATTTGTCACGATTGTCGGTGGCCATTTGTCACGATTGTCAGTCACCATTTGTCACAATTGTCCAAACCGTAAACCATTGCAACTTCCTTATTGGTAATGTTTTTACCATACGGTCTCCGGGCATAGCGTTGTAACAACAAATAAGATAAGTTGCGTGGCAACGAATGTGCTTTGGACATCCTAGCCAAAATACTAGCTAGCCAAAATAAGGTAGCGTTTGGCCTCAAGCTATCTACGTGTTGGCTTAAGGCCGGGTGCTCGGTCATTTCGGTTGGTTGGACATGTGTAGGATATGTGTTGGCATCCGGCTGATCTTATTTGCTCTTATTACAACACTAAAAACTCATCGACATCGTCGGCTAAAACTGCTAACCCTGAAGAGACTAACACTCAATCCGTTCTAGTCAATACTTTCTATTCAATCACTAGTCCGCCGCAGTTTAAAGCATCATGCACGGTACTTTCCAACGTGTCTTCCTGGCTGGCGAGTATTTTACGTACGCAAAATATCAACAGTTTTGCCCAGCACGTGTGTGGTTGACGGCTGGACCGAGTAAAGCATAATGCATGTTTAAAGCACCACGAAAGTGAAATAAACGAAACATGAATTCTGGAGTGCTTGGGGGCGGTGGGGCAGTTAGCATTGCTGGTTCCCACCTCACAAAGCATTTGGCTACGTCGCCTTTCGCCGTTCCTGTGCCGATGGCGTTCTCTTCCCGCGGCCAATTCCTCCCCGGCGTTGCTCTGTATACGTACCGTCGGCCCTGGACATAGCCTTGGCCCATATTGTACGCATACGCATCATACACATGTTAACTTTGGTGCGTCCGAACAAGGCCGAGAGGCCAATGTGCAGCAGAGAGCTCACTTCCCTGTTTACGTCACACTACTGGGAAACGGCGGTACACCCGGCATGGACGTGACCGCAAATGAGCGTGGGGTGCACAATTCCGCCACCTCGGATAACGTACTTCACGAGTTTATCCCAACGATACAAAACAGGTCACACGACCTGACCCAACGATAGAAAACAGATCATACGACCTGACCTCCTGCGCTTAACTTCACAGTATGACCTGTGCTCGCTCCACGAAACCCGCTTCACAACAAACGTTTCTGTCATACGAGGACATGACATAACGCAACACTCAGAAATACCAACAACACTTGAGAAAGGAAGCGAGAAAGTAAGAGCACAGCTACCATGCACAGCTGCTGCTTCACTTCTATTCGCAGTCAGAATACCACAGCGGGAGCGCATGGCGCATGAGAGCAATGCCCACGCTGCGACGCACAGGAATAAACCCTCGCCGCCGAATCCGAAACCCTCCGTAGCAAAACCATCGCAACACAGCTCGGTGCGCCGCAGAGCACAGTACACCACCGGCTAGCACGTGTCGGGACAGGGCGCCTGGCGGTGACCCAGGCGACGCTGCACATCCTCCGGCAGCCAGAAGGCGGGACGGCCAACGCCGGCCTCGTCGCTGCCGTCACAGCAGTCGCACACGCCATCGCCGACTCTGCTGGCCGGCAGGTCGCGGCCGCGACAGTGGAACACGCCGTTGGCGCACGCCGCCGTGCCGGGCTCGTCAGTGCCGTCGGCGCAGTCACAGTAGTCGTCGTTCACCCGGGCGCGTGGCAGCTGCTCACCGCTGCGCAGACACGTGAACTCGGCGAGCCGGTAGAGTGCAGCCACCTCCGGCCGCACGCCGGCCGGGGTGACATCTGGCAACGCCGGCGCAAGGTTCGAGTCCGGCCGGGCGCCGCCAAGTGGCGCGTCCTCACCCTTGCGCCGGCCTTGGTTGCGCGGGTCGACGCGCGGCGGCACCACCAGGGCGCGCACACGCTCGTACTTGCGCTGGCCGAGCGGCGCAGGCGCGGGCGCGTGCTGTGTGGCAGCGCGCAGCCGGCCCAGCAGCAGCATGGCCAGCAGCAGCAGCAGGCAGCCTATGACCAGCAGGATGCGCGATGGCCGGCGCGCGCCGTGCCGCCAGCGAACATAGCAGCGGTACCAGGTCATGGTCACTGTGGATGGGCCCACTCAGACCTGGCACCCAGCTGAGGGTGGCAGGTGCCCAGCAGACCAGCAGATGGCAGAAAAGGCTGCCTGCTGAAACACAGGGGTTTTGGATGCACACATATGCTCTGGAGAATGTACACAGCCAATGCTTCATGGAAGCAGACATGACATGAAGGACAAGGTCAGCTTGTAAAAGGAAGGCTGAGTAGTCAGTGAATACCAAATACAGGAACTTTCTTCACAACTCTTTTTATGAATGGATTGTATGGGTGTTTTACATTTTGACTATTTGCACAACTTCTTCCACATAACATAAACCTTCTATCTAAATTCTGATGCTTCATTTGAAGACAACTTTGCTTCTCATCCTTTGCCTGATGGATCAGCAGAGTTTTACATGCATCAAGTAGCTGCAAAATAGTTTTCACTATGCCTTGTTTTCACCCTTGTTGGATGTTTGTGAGCTGACCAATCCTGCCACCAAGTCAAAGCAATGTGTCTGCCTTGACACTCATGCCCAGTACTGCTGGATATATCCCAGAGCTTGTGCATCAGCATCTATCCCACAGATCATGGAGATGGGAATATCTCCTGGGCTGAAAACATCATCTGCATATACTCTGGAAGAAAGTCATAAATCAAAACACCAGTCTTGTTTGAAGCCAAAATAGTCAAACTACAAAGTTGATGTGCATGAGTAAGGCAGGCATTCATATCTCTGGAAGCTATTTATTTACTGTGACCCTATTTGGTGCTTGAATATTATTTGTATCACTGCTTGAACATACTGTAATGCATGAAGGTGCAAAAGCTATACAATCTGCACACTATCATGGCAATTTTTGAGATAAACTACAGCCAAAAGATGGAAACAGCTTAGATCCCAAAAGAACATTCAACATACAAGAGATGACTTCCAAGCACCACTGACCTGGAAATGACGCAAATGTTTGTGGACAAAGCTAGGCAAAGTTACCAAGAATACTTTGATTTCCCATTGCATATTTACATTACAGAGCAGAATGTAGCACAGCATATCGACATAAGGCTGTCGACAGGCATCGCCGGGCTTTTAGTCCCCTCCCCAAACGACAGCCGCGTTTCAACACTGCCTTGCACGTAACATGCAATTTGCGTTGGAAACGAAAGATATGCGCCATTGCTGTAACTAAAACAATCACCGTTTTATTTTGGTATGTTAAAAAAGATCATATTAGTCCAGAAGAAGCGTTAAAGTTGATTTTTTCAGAAATATTAGGTATTTCTGTTTTTATATAGGATTATTGTAACCTTAAATAACGGTTTTGCATAAAAACAAGAAATAAATCTTTTTATTATATTTTTGCCACTAGGAGCGCCTTAATAGCCTCATGGGGGGGGGGGGGAATCGTCAAGCTTACATGCACATTTATCCCTCGTTCCGCACGCTGTCGCTTTCACTTTCGCTCTCCGTCTGGGAACGTGGTGCGTGTGGATGTTGCGTAATTTGTAACTACATATCCAAATCTCCAGCTTCGAATCATATCAGATTGACGCTCCGTCAACCTGAGAGCGTGCCTGAATAGTGTACTCGTGTGACAACCTTCAGTCGACTTGCATAATGGCTGCTCTCCGCCAGACTCCACTGACATGCAGTGGCCATACTAGGCCAGTTGTTGACCTAGATTTCAGCAGCATCACTCCTGAAGGATATTTTATGGTGTCAGCTTGTAAAGGTACGTCATTACTCAGTGTGTATTGATATTTGTGTTGTATAGATGCTTTTGTGGTGTCTTCTTCTGGCAGTTGTGGCGAGTCCATGTGTGATGGGCAGGGTTGTAATTTTGTGTTCAACTGGGGAGGCTTCATATGCACCCCAAACGTGGGCTCCAGCCCCCAACTTTGAGATAGAATTTGGCAAGATCCAGGGGGAAGTCCTCTTGTTAGCATACTTGGGGAGTAGGCTTCATAATTTGTCATTGATTAGTCCCTCCCCCCCCCCCCCAGCTCACTTTGAGAAAAGATGTCCCATTCATGAGTTTTACATAGGGTTTTTAAGAATGTATTAACTGCATCAGTTACTTTCACCTCTGTTTTGGTTATTTCCACCTTGTTATTTTGTTATTATTGAGTAAGTTATTTTTATTGAGTAAGTTATTTATTATTGAGTAAGTTAAGTATGCTGTTATTGAGTAAGTATGCATACCCTCTTCTCCAAGCAACACCCACCATACCAAAATATCAGAAATCTGACAGCATAAGCACAGCTATGAAGAGAAACAAAGATTCCTGCATTTTTTTACTTTATAAGTTGTGGTGTTCCTTTGGTGATGAGCTGTAGGCTCTTGTTAGTTATTTTTTGAAAAAAACTTCTTTTTAAGTGCAGCATGATTTAAGAGCATAAAAGTGTCCTAGTTCTGTGTACAACAAATGAGGGCCTACCTTACCCTGTTAAATGAGAGTCAACAAATGAGCCTGCACTCTGCCAAGTGGATTTAGAATGTTGCCCCCTTCCACATGGGGCATTTGCATGGCCTAAACCACATTGTTCTTATCTTCAAAACCTCATTAGGTTTTGCTTCACTTTACCTCAAGACATGCAGTAAAACAAATTTCTGGTGAAAGTTGTGTGCATGTAATCCAAAATTATGAAGCCTGCTGCGTTTGCCTTACCTTGTCTGATGTTCTATATTTGGGGGCTGGCCCATGTGCCCCCTGGGCTGGCCTATACACTCTGCAGACCTGTATGTTGTCTTGTTTGGATAGGATGTTTATGTTCATGTTCTTAAAATGCATGGTTTGTATGGCAGTTATTCATTGCCATAGGGAAGGTGCTAGGCAAATCCCTTTTGCTATAGGATAGGGACTATGACAGGTCACCTATATGCCAGTGGTCATTTGTTAGACCCACAGGATGGCATTCTCCACACCCCACACCCCATCCCCACCCACAGATGGCAAGCCCATGCTGCGTCAGGGTGACACTGGCGACTGGGTCGGCACCTTCGAGGGCCACAAGGGTGCTGTGTGGGGAGTGGCCCTCAACAACGATGCCAGTCGGGTGGCCACGGGTGCTGCAGACTTCACAGCAAAGGTGGGATGGCTCATTTGGCTGGAAAGAATTATCCTGGAAAAGTTGTACCTGCTAACAAGCCATACACATGTTGTTCATTCCAGGACAGTGGTAACAAGAGAGTTGTCATGCAGTGGTTGCAGGGAAGGGATAGAGGCTTTGTTGGCCAAGGTGTTCATTCCGACCACTGCTCTGTTTTCTGAAGGTTTTTCCTGGGTCACCCCGTGATGATGTCTGGATCCTCAGTGTTATTTAAGACATGGTGTGACAGATACTGTTTGCCAGCTTTCGCATGCACAGCCGTTTTAACAGCACCCTGTTCCCCAACATTGAATCTGCCAACTTTACACACAGCTGTTGTCAGAGAAGGGGGACACACAGTGAGATGCCAAACTGGACACTTTTCTGACCCTGTGCCTTGTCCGGAAATGGGATGACCCGACCTGACCTGACCTGGTGACCCAATTGCGCCGGCAGCTGTGGGACGCGCAGTCAGGCGAGGAGCTGCGCGGCTTCCAGCACAAACACATCGTCAAGTCGGTGGACTTCTCCGCCGACGCGGGCCTCCTCCTCACCGGCAGTAATGAGAAGATGCTGCGCATCTACGACCTGGCGCAGCCTGAGGCCGGTGAGCCGCCTCCTAACGCGCCCGCCGCCGGCGAGACGAGCCGCCTCCTAACGCGCCCCCGCCGGCGAGACGAGCCGCCTCCTAACGCGCCCGCCGCCGGCGAGACGAGCCGCCTCCTAACGCGCCCGCCGCCGGCGAGACGAGCCGCCTCCTAACGCGCCCGCCGCCGGCGAGACGAGCCGCCTCCTAACGCGCCCGCCGCCGGCGAGACGAGCCGCCTCCTAACGCGCCCGCCACCGGCGAGAGCCCGGAGCCGCCCTCCTAACGCGCCCGCCGCCGGCGAGACGAGCCGCCTCCTAACGCGCCCGCCGCCGGCGAGACGAGCCGCCTCCTAACGCGCCCGCCGCCGGCGAGACGAGCCGCCTCCTAACGCGCCCGCCGCCGGCGAGACGAGCCGCCTCCTAACGCGCCCGCCGCCGGCGAGACGAGCCGCCTCCTAACGCGCCCGCCGCCGGCGAGACGAGCCGCCTCCTAACGCGCCCGCCGCCGGCGAGACGAGCCGCCTCCTAACGCGCCCGCCGCCGGCGAGACGAGCCGCCTCCTAACGCGCCCGCCGCCGGCGAGACGAGCCGCCTCCTAACGCGCCGCCGCCGGCGAGACGAGCCGCCTCCTAACGCGCCCGCCGCCGGCGAGACGAGCCGCCTCCTAACGCGCCCGCCGCCGGCGAGACGAGCCGCCTCCTAACGCGCCCGCCGCCGGCGAGACGAGCCGCCTCCTAACGCGCCCGCCGCCGGCGAGACGAGTGACCTTCTAACGCGAGCGTGTGGGCACATGGCATGTGTGGCGTAGCGGACATGTGGGGTGTATGTTCTCTGTGGGGGCTCTATTGATGTGCACAAACTTGTTTTTGTGTGTGTGGGAGAGACGTGGTTTCGTGGGTGTGTGAGCGTGGTTGTGGGAACGGGTGTGCGTGACAGTGTGCAAAAGTTGGGATTTTGTGAACAGTCACGTCAGGCTATAAATTTTGGGCTACCAACCCATCCAGGTCCTTGAATTGACCAACGCAGCAGATCGGTTCTGATGCGACCCTTTCGATGCGGAGATGTGTTCACAACATCCTCGCTGAAAATGCCGTCGCTCTATCGTTGTTTGTCAGTGGATGGGAAGCGAGTGGTGGGGGCGTCTCAGCCATCTGTTACGGGGCTGCCTTAGTGGCAAGGTCCGCCCGCCAGCGCTAGAAAGGATACATTGCCCCGACATGGATGTAAGCTCTCATCAGAGGGATGACAGCTTGCCAGAGACGGGATACTGCCACGGATGGGATTATTGGTGGGACAGTCGTCCCCGTCTGGTGTGTTAGTACCAGCAAACTGGAAGGGGACGATTCTGAACCGATTGCCATCCGTGACAGCTCTTCTTAATCGCTCTGTAAAGCTGTGGCTGCGTAAGCGCGAGCTCGTCCGCGGGGTCTCGCCGGCCGGTCGCCCGCGGCCGGCCGGAGAGTCACCAGCGCGGCGCCGTCCGTCCCCAGAGCCGCAGCTGTTCAAGGGCCACACGGCCAGCATCAAGAAGGTGATGTTCCTGCCGGACGGCGGGACAGTCATCAGCTGCGGCGATGACAAGAGCCTGCGCGTCTGGGACAGGCGCACGGGCGAGGTGAGCCCCGATACAGATGCACAGGTACACGCGGCAGATGCCGGTATCCAGGCCTCACAGACAAGCGCCACATGCGCGCTCATGTGTCGGGAGGAAGTATGGGCAATTGCCGCCATCTCCAGTGACTGATGACGGCTTGCTGCCTGCCGTGCGTCCTGAACCCCTACCCGTGTGACTTGATGTTTTGTGACCCTCTTATGTGACAGTCAGGCTGTGGCCTGACCCCAAAAACCTCAGCTGCTATATAACCTGACCTTGCGATCCGGTCCCGACCGTGTCATGACCTCGTAAACCCAGACACCGTGTAACCCGACCTAGTAAACCCAGCCGCCATGTGACTCGACCTTGTTAACCCAGCCACCTTGTAAACTCAGCCACCGTGTGACTGGTGTGACCTCGTGACTCCTGACACTGTGTGAGCTGACCTCATGATTTCTGCCTCTGTGACCTGACCTCGTAACCCCTGCCACCGTGTGATTTCACCTCGTGACCACTGGCACCATGCGATCTGACCTCGTGACCCCTGCCACCGTTTGATCTGACCGCATGACCCCTGTCACTGCGATCTGACCTCATGTCCCCTGTTGCTGTGTGACGTGACCTCCTGACCCCTGCGGCTGTGTGATTTGACATGACCCGTGCTGCCCTGTTACGTGAGCTCGTGGCCGCGGACGCACTGTGAGCTGACCCCATGACCCCGGCCTCAGGCGACACGAACGGTGGAGCTGCCGGCGGCGCCCATGGACGTGGAGGTGTCTGCCGACGGCCAGACACTGACCGTCACGCACGGCAAGACGGTCAGCTTCCG